AGAGCAGACACTGCATTTGCTGTGAATTTTCTAAGCAGGTATGCAAGCAACCCAACCATTGCTGCATGGAATTGACTTATGAGAGTGGCAAGATATTTAAAACAAACACAAAATGTTTGTTTGGTATTAAGTCCAGATGATTCACTATCTTTGCAGGTATATGCAGTCAGTGATTTCGGCAACTGTACTGATAGGAATTCGACAACAGGGGTTTTAGTTAAGTTTTCTAATGCTGTAATTGACTGGAAGTCAAAGAAGCAAGGTTATGTAGCTTTAAGTTTCTGTGAGGCTGAGTTTGGTGCACTTAGCTTAGCATATACAGAAGTTTGTGTAACCAAGCAATTATTAAAGGACATACAGATACCTGTTAAAGATCCTACAATAATATATGAGGATAATCAGACATGCATTGCAATGCCAACACAGTACAGAGTGAAACAAAGGAGCAAGCATGTGGATATTAAGTACAGCTGTGTAAGGGATGCAGTGAAAAATGGTGAAATTGATTTGGTATATTGTAATACAGATCTAAATCTGGCTGATTTATTAACAAAGCCACTGAGTGTACAGAAACATCAGGATGTTCTGAATGATTTGGGAATTTTTGAGTGTACCATGTAATCTTGTAAATTTATTGTATTGTGAATTATGTATTGTGTTTTCCTCTACACACAAGGAGGAGTTTTACAGGATGTGCATATGTATGCTAAGTCTTTGCAAGAATCATCTCCTGTGTAGGTGTGTGTTGAGGAAGAACACCTGGACAATTAAGCAATTAAGCCTGAGACACTCCCTACATGGAGTATATCATGAGGAGTATTCAGATCATGAAGACTGTAGTTCATGGAGAGAGATTATGGGACTTCCATGCTGATGATAATTCTACCATGGATTTACTACAGGACTTGCTAAAGTTCTGGACTATTTAGTACAAGACTCCTTGCACCATTGAAGAAGCAGAGCAAGCATGGTTTTAATGCATTGGACTTTGAGTTATTTTCTGCAATGGACTAAGTTTATTTTCAAGGCTGGTAATGTTGTAAAGCTGCATATTTATCTCTGACTACTCAAGAGTAAATTTTGTTTTTCCTTTTACTCTGACTCTGTGTGAATCAACAGAGGGCTGGGAAGACTGCTGGGTAGCTTCCGTATAGACTGATAAACTGCAACACCCCATTCTACTGCACGTTGGTATTGCATGTAGTTGTTGTTTATTCTCTTGTCCTTCCTATTCTATTGTCTTCTTCCAATTCCATGCATTGCTTGTTTAAGAATAATGCCTTATCTCTTCTGTTTAACTTCTAGAATTGTGCATTTAATCAGGCATATCCCATTTATCCCTGTATCACTGTAGTAGAAAGAGAATAACCACCATATCCCTCCTATGATCAATCAATTGTTCTCCTCACCTGGCCAGCACCAGCCTTCGTAGTCACTGCCATCCTTTGTCTTGACATAAAAGCCCTGGGAGCGGATCTCGTTGTGGATTCGGTAGCCAGTGTCTACCTTGATGTGTGGGTCCACAATGCTTACCATCTGGGGTAAAGGAAGGACAGATCAAATGAGGTGAGGTAAGTAAAAAAAGCTAGAACACTCAGCTAGAACAATCTCCTTCAAATGAACAAATGGACATCATCTCTGCAACTTTACACAATGTATAACCAGTTATGTGTGAGATAGAGCCTTCGTTGTGCTTCAGAATTGCAGTCAGCATTGAACCAAAGCTTATCAAGGTTGTTTGGAGGGCTAGAATTTAGAGTGGCCATACTGGTCAAGACATTCACCTTCCAGAAGTAAATGTTTGCAGGATAGGAATCTGTCCTTACCAAGGTCAGGGCATTTTCTCTCCTGTTCTCAACCTGGTATATATTCGAGTATAAGCCGAGCCCAAATACAAGCCGAGGCACCCAATTTTACCACAGAAAACTGGGAAAATGTATTGATTTGAGTATAAGCCGAAGCTACTGGTAAATTTCAAAATAAAAATAGATACCAATAAAAATATATTAATAGTGGCATCAGTAGGTTCAATGTTTTTGAATCTATATAAATAAAAATGTAATCTATATAAATAAAAATGTAAAACCTCACTACCTCTGAGGATGCTTGCCATAGATGCAGGCGAAACGTCAGGAGAGAATGCCTCTAGACCATGGCCATATAGCCAGAAAAAACCTACAACAACCCAATGTAATGTTTGTTTGTGGGATTAACATAACTCAAAAACCACTGGGTGAATTGACACCAAATTTGGACAGTGTTCTGGAACAGCTGTTCCAGGAGCTCCAGATTTATTTGCTGTGTTTAATGTTTGTTTGCAATCCCAGGGTTGGGATTTTGCGGCAGGGTGGCTTCCTGTTATAGGCTGCAATCATAGGGTAAGCCACCTGCCAATTATAGTTAGGTTCCCTGGTCCCGCCCCTTCTTGAGTTTTTGGAGGGAAGGGGCCATTTTTCAGTCAGTCACACAAGGAAGCCAGTCTATAGGACGCAGATCAGCTAGTCCCGTAGGAAAGGCTTCATTCCTCAAAACCTTCCGGGGAAATAGAAATAGCCATCCGGGGATCATCCAAAGGTGATCCTGGGTCCATCCAGCGACCATCCAGGGGTCATCCAGTGACCATCCAGTTCCAGGGAAACAGAAGGAAAAGGTCCCAAACGCTCTGGCTGAGAGCTCACAGCCTCTCAGCCTCACAGCACCAGAAGGGAAAACAGCCCTGAAGTTTCCACAGGACATCACTGCAGAACCACAGAATTCCAGCTAAACATCTTCTAGCTTCGTCTGGTAGGTTACTCGGTTTCCAGACGCATTTGGGGATCGGCAGTATTACCCAGACCAGCGAGGCCTAGGTGATGGACGGCCTGGGAGGGATTATAAAGAGTTATTCCTTATGAGATAGTACAGTCAAACCAAGTTAGTGCCAGTCTCTTAAAGACTTGAATAGTAAAGCCGTGAAGTTTTGTTTGAAGATTTGTTCCTTAATAAAGACTGTTGTACTTTTAAAGACTCTAAGGCCCATTACTTTTGGAAGTCTCTAACAATCTCTCTTCGGGCACCCCGGCTTCCCACTGGGTTTAAAGTGTGCGTTCTATAGAATAAAGACATTTTGTTTGGACCCAGTGGCGACAGAACAGACAGCATACACCTAACAACCGAATGTATGTCCGTTACTCAAAAAAAATTGATTTTGTCTTTTGTGAGTTGTAGTTGCTGGGATTTATAGTTCACCTATTATCAAAGAGCATTCCAAACTCCACCAATGATGGAATTGAACCATATGTGGCACACATGACTCCCATGACCAACAGAAAACACTAGAAGGGTTTGGTGGGCATTGACCTTGGGAGTTGTAGTTCACCTACATCCAGAGAGCACTGTGGACTCAAACAATGATGGATCTGGACCAAACTTGGCACGAATATTCTATATGCCCAAATATGAACACAGATGGAGTTTGGGAGGAATAAATCTTGACATTTGGGAGTTGTAGTTACTGGGATTTATAGTTCACCTACAATCAAAGACCAATCTGAACCCCACAAATGACAGAACTGGGGCAAATTTCCCACACAGAACCCACATGACCAACAGAAAATACTTAAGGTCATCCAGTCCAACTCTCTTCACCAGGGCAAGAAAATGTAATCAAAGCCCTCCTGACAAAGTGCCATCCAGTCATAAATATAGATAGATAGATATGATTCACACATACACATAGAATGGGACCCCTGAAGAAGGATAATGATATGTTGCATGTTCCAGAGTGGGCAAAACAGACAATCTCCACATCAACACTGACAAAGAAACAATAATAAATACTGTTTACCCTCAAACATAAAGAAATTACATATATTAGAAACCAACACTTTCTCATTATTTTATTTTCCAGATCACCAGACTGGGCCACAGCAACGCGTGGCAGGGGACGGCTAGTATTTATATAAAACTGTAATTTAAGATAAGACTGTCCAACTCTGATTAAATCATTATTCTAACCTTCTTCAGTGTAAATGCGCTTATGTATCCTTCCAATAATAATGAAGAGAGTAAAATAATAAATGTAATAAAAATAATAATAATAGAGTAAAATGTAATTATAATAAAAATAGAGTAAAATAATAAATGTAATAATATATAAAAAGAATAATAACAGAGTAAAATAATAAATAACCTTGAGTCGAGTATAAGCCAAGGGGGGCCTTTTCAGCCTTAAAAAGGGGCTGAAAAACTCGGCTTATACTTGAGTATATACTGTACCTTTCTCCCTTTGGTTGCCAAGCGCTGAAGCATTTCCTGAGGATGGGGGAACTTGTTTGGGTCCCAGGTAAAGTAGCGTTTCCCATCAGCATGTTCAATGTCTAGCCAGATGACATCGTATGGGATGTCATGCTCATCGAAGCCATTGTCTACAGTATTCACATCCTCCTCATCATTGTAGTTCCAACGGCTCTGGTGATAAGCCAAAGCAAAGAGAGGAGGCAAGGCCTGAGTACCTGAAAGAAAGGGGAAACAACAACACTTAGTTCATGACTTTCAAAAATATTCAGAATCCACAAAACAGTCACAACTTTATTAGTCTGATGCCACTGCCCCAAATACTGTCTCCAATTCCCTCACCAGCCCTTCCCTTACAATCACTTGCCTGTGAGAGATGCGTATTGTCTGAAGACATCGTGGGGCTGTGGTCCGAGCAAGAGGAATGCATCTATGATGCCACTCTCTGACATCCAGCGGATATCAGTCTGCGGGGTCTCCCCGCCACCTTGCATATAGTCGAGCATCTTTCCAAAGAGGGTCTGTGAGAGAAGTTTGGGAAAGATCACATCAGTTCAGACAGGACGCCAAATTAGAAATCTGCATGACACAGTCAGCTTATGACTCATATGTTTCCCTCATCATCACCACCGCAGCTGTTACTGTCTTATGTTCACTTTCATAACAAATAACAAATCAGTAATAAAAGCCCTTTCTGAAACTATCAGGCCTTCTTCTTTGACCATTGGAGTCTGAACACACCATGAATTGGTGGAGAACAAATTAGGGAATCCATCTTTAAATATTTGAAAGGAAGAGGGAGAAGGCTTGTTTTCTGCTGCGCTGGAGACTAGGACACAATGGAGCAATGGTTTAAATTACAGGAAAGAAGATTCCACCTGAACTTTAGGAAAAACAACAATGGAATTCTCTCCCTCGGAGTGGAGTGGAAGCTCCTTCTTTGGAACCCTTTAAACAGAGGCTGGATGGCCATCTGTCGAGAAAACTTTGACTGTGCCTTCCTGCCTGGCAGTATAGGGCTAGACTGGATGGCACCTGGGGTATCTTCCAACTTTAGGATTCTGCATTCAAAAAGCCAGCAGTGTTTGCACGTTGGTTATGTAGGAAGACACTCTCCTTCCATTCCTGGCAGAGCTGGAATAGAACAATCAGTTCCTCACTGGCCAGCCTCCTCCATTACCTGCATAGAATTCCTGGCAACCAAGTGAGTAAACTTTTGGAATTCGCTGCCTAAGGAGATCAGGCAAGCCCCCACTCCAGCTGGTTTTAAGAAAGACCTAAAAAGCTGGCTCTTCCGTTGTGCTTCTGGAGAATGACCATTCAACCCATCTGGTTGTCTTAGCTTACAGCTGCCCTCAGAATAAAGCATCTCTCCCCCCACCCCCTAAAATGGCTAAATCCCATGGTTCCTCCCTGTTGGGCCCCTTTCCTACAAATACACTTTTATCCCTATCTCACCCAGGGGTTTAACTTTTTTAACATTTTACCTCACACATTTGGCCTGCCCTCCGTGTCTGGTTTTAATATGCTGTTTTATATTGTTGATTTTGTTATTTTATATTTTGTTATGATGTATTTTGTTACTGTGTGTTTATTATGTTGTATTATTTTGGGCTTGGCCTCATGTTAGCTGCACCGAGTCCCCTTTGGGGAGATGGTAGCAGGTTATAAATTAAGTGTATTATTAAACATAAAGATGGCTCACTGTGTCGGGGCTCATTTTAAAGACATTACATCTCTACATGTCAGAATAACAGTACCTTGCCGGCTGTGTTGGAGGTGATGTCCACCCAGGTCTCAGCCGCATTGAGCCAAAAAATCCCCAGCGTACGTCGAGCATTGTGAGCCAGAAGGACAGGGACAGAGCCATAGAGGGCCATTGGGTTGTAGAGCTCATACTGAAACACATCCAAGTTATAGAGGCGGTATGGGTCCCCTCCCCTGTCAAGGATTTTGGTGGTTAGAACAAAGCACACAAGAACCCATTGAGATGCTAACATTCCAATACATGAGGGATCAAATGCTCTTATAATATTTCTGTGGGATCAAAAACCATACAAATCATGCATCCAAATCCCAATGGTAGATACGTATATGTATGTATGCATGGATGTGTGTATGTTTATGTATATTACTAGCTGTACCCACCACGTGTTGCTGTGGCCAACCTTCCCCCTTTCTCTCCTTCTTTCCCTCCTTCCTTCACTCCCTCTTTCCTTCCTTCCTTCCTTCCTTCCCATCTTTCCTTCTCTTCATCCTTCCTTCTCTATCTCTTTCCTTCCTTCCCCCTTTTTCTTTCTCTTCTGTCTCTTTTCTTCCTTCTCTCTTTCCTTCTCTCCTTCCCTCCCTCTTTCTCTACATCTTCCCCCTTCTTTCGCTCCCTTTCCTTCTTTCCCTTTTTTATTTCCTTCTCTCCTTCCTTCTCTAACTTTCCTTCCTTCCCCCTTCTTTTTCCCTCCCCTTTCTCTCCTTTCCTTTCCTACCTCTTTCCTTCCTTCTCTCTTTGCTTCCATGCTTCCTTCTCCCTTTCCTTCTTTCCCTCCCTCTTTCTTTTCTTTTCTTTCTTTCTTTTTCTCCCCTTCCCTCCCTCTTTCTTCCTTTTTCTGTATTGTCATGTAACTTTTCGTCATTTAGCTTTTTGGGGCTTTTAAGTCCTTTCTGCTGTGTTTTTCAATGTTTTTATGAGTGAAGGACATACATTGGGTTTTTAGGTGTCTTGTGTCCAAATTTGGTGTCAATTCCCCCTGTGGTTTTTGAGTTCTCTTAATCCCAAAAACGAACATTACATTTTTATTTATATATACATACACATCTTAAAACTCCAACTACAGTAGAGTCTTGCTTATTCAACCTTCGCTCATCCAACATTCTGTATTATCCAACACAGTCTGCCTCTCACCCAGATCCACAGCTGTCTCAATACATTGCAATATTTTGGTGCTAAATTCATAAATACAGTAATTGCTACATAATGATACCAGGTATTAAACTGCTGTTTCTGTCAATTTGTTGTAAAACATGTTTTGGTGCTTAGTTTGTAAAATCATAACACAATTTGACATTTAATAGGCTTTTCCTTAATCCAACATTTTCACTTATCCAACATTCTGCCGGCTCTGTTTATATTGGATAACCTGTACTGTACTTGGAATCAATCTTGAAAACCCAACATGTAACCAGGGGTCCTCAAGCTTACTCAGTTGTTCGCAGTCGGAGGTTGTCTGCGTGTTCTGGGATCCCATACACGTTCTCCATACCTGGGAGTGAGAAATCTAGCCCCACGGATGTTGGTCCTGTAAAATGAAAAATATACAGAAGGGGTCTGGGAAGAATCATGTCCCTATCTCAGCCACCCATTTAGACCATTTTGGATTTTGTCATAAATCGGGTTTCTGAATTCCAGATAAAGTCATGCTGACAGAACTTACCATTAGGTTTGCTGTCTGTGTGAGTCTTGAATGTTTCTTCCCAAAGCCCTGGCTCCTCTTCAGCCTCCTCTGCTCCTCTTGATGTTTCCTCATTCTGTAAGAAATAAAAAATGGTTAAGCTGATCCCTTATTTCAGAAATGGAAGGGGAAAACTCTTATTAAGAGCAACTTTAATTACACAGGCCAACAAAAGATAGTTCAAAAGCATCTATCTTCCTTTGCTCAGCCTTCTTTATGGCCCAGCTCTCGTATACACAGGTTACTACGGGGAATACCATTTGGCGACTGGTAGATGGTATAGATCTCAAAGCTAGAGTTGGCAGGAGAAAAAAGGTGGCATTTTTGGAATCAGCAGTTCAAATATACTCAGAGAGGTCCAACATCTGAGCCACCAAAATATGTGTTGGCCAGTGTTATTTATGCAATAACTGTAGCACACTATAATGAAGCTCTAATCTTTGCCTGCCATTTGGGCCCTTGATCTCTTAATACAGGAAATCTATGAAGAATGATTAACTGTGGACTATGTTAGATGGAGAGCAGAACCTGATAAGGCAGCAAGTGGAAACAAATGTGGACCAAGAGAGCCCAGACAAAAAACAGTTTATAGTACAGTCAGGTTGTGCAGCTCTTTCATTTTTTCCCCAGTGTGTTTGTTGTTGATTCATTCAGACACTTCTGACTCTTTGTGACCTTCTGGACAGCCCATGCCAGAGCTCCCAGTCTGTGGTTTCTACCCCCAGCTCCTTCAAGGTCAAGCCAGTCACTTCAAGAATAACATCCATCCATCTTGCCCTTGGTCAGCCCCTCTTCCTTTTTTCTTCCCTTTTCAACAGCAACATTATTTTCTCTAAGCTTTCCTGTCTTCTCATGATGTGGCTAAAGTACTTCATGTTTGCCTCTAATATCCTTCCCTCCAGTGAGCAGCCGGGCTTTATTTCCTGGAGTATGGACTGGTTGGATCTTTTTGCAGGAGTTTTTTCAGTGTACAGTTTGAGAAATCAAACCAAGGATCTAAGCATCTCCTTTCTCACCCAACAACCATTTTCTCAACATGGGAAACCCTGATTCTTTGCCATTCACCTGATTACTGTTCTCTGCAGACTCCTGCTCTGTGGACAAAGATGCATCCAGGCTCTCGACATCCCCCTCCTCTTGTGCTGCTGGCTCCTTTGGTGACTCTCTGGAAGAAAAAGGTGGTTTCAAATCTCCTCCTTTGGCAGACCCAAACAAAAGGGATCTAATTTCACACCCTCCCGCTCCTTGACACAAAGAAAGTGTTTGCACCCATTAGTCACTACGAGCAGCACACAAGGTCACAGCCCAGCCAGTTAGCAAGGAGAGGAAAAGTGAGGGGAGTAGCTATAGAGCTATTCAGCAAAGGATAACACAAGAACAAGCTCCGGTGTCCACCCTACTTTCCTGTTGGGCTCTTCAGATTGGTCCTTTAGTCCAGAAAATCATTTTCCTACATATAATTAATGTACATGAAAGAGGAAGTGGGTGCCCAAGTTCTGCTTGTGTTTAGCTAAATAAGCACATGAAATGTGTAACGACACAGGTGTTGCTAGACTCAAAGTCCTACTTGTTACCTAGGATAGATGTGAGTAAAAATACAACAACTGAAGGTTCACAGACCTTTGATCAAAAAGTAAAGGAAACTACCCAAATGTATATTCTGATATGAAAAGGGCAGCTTCTAGCTTCCACGGGATATAGTGGCTCAAACTATCCAAAGTTTCCCAAAGTTCTTCTCCCTCGACCCAATTAATAAAATGATTTCTGAGCATTCATTTGGAACATTTAAAAAGGAATCTGTGGATATCCCAAAACTCATTTCTTTTCTGATAATTCAGGAAGACACATTATCAATTTATAACATGAAAGAACCAAATAACTTTACCCAACTGAATGCCCTCCAAATATATTTGACTAGGCACCCATCACTGCCAATGCTCACGAGATGACTGTAAACCAAAAGACTAAAGCAGTACTGGAAAGATTTACCGTATAATCATAGAATCATAGAGTTGGAAGAGATCTTGTGGGACATTCAGTCCAACCCCCAGCAAAGAAGCAGGAAAATCTCATTCAAAACACCCGACAGATGGCCATCCAGCCTCTGTTTAAAAGCCTCCAAAGGAGGAGCCTCCACCACAATCTGGAGCAGAAAGTTCCACTGCTGAACAGCTCTCTCACACAGTTAGGAAGTTTTTCTGCAAGTTCAGATGGAATCTCCTTTCCTGTAGTTTGAAGCTATTGCTCCATTGCGTCTTAGTCTCCAGAGCAGCAGAAAAGCTTGCTTCCTCCTTTCTATGACTTCCCCTCACATATTTATACATGACCATTACCATGTCTCCTCTCAGCTTTCTCAACCGCAGGCTCTTTAAGCCCCTCCTCATAAGGCTAGTTCTCCAGACCTTTGATCCTTTGAGTCGCCCTCCTCTGGACACATTCCAGGTATGGTTGGACCAAGGCAGAATAGAGGGGTAGCATGGACTTCCCTGGATCTAGACATTAGACTCCTCTTGTTGCAGGTCAAAATACCATTGGCTTTTTAAGCTGTTGCATGACATTGTTGGCTCATGTTCACCTTCCTGTCCACGAGGACCCCAAAATCTTTTTCACATGTCCTGCTGTCGAGCCAGGCATTGCCCCCCATTCTGTATCTTTGCATTTCCTTTTTTTCTGCATAAGTGGACTGTCTTGCACTTGTCCTTGTGGAACTTAGTTTTGGCCAATGATCTCTCTAATCTGTGAAGATCATTTTGAATTCTGCTCCTGTCTTCTGGACTATTGGCTCTTCCTCCCAATTTGGTGTTGTCTGCAAACTTGATGATCATGTCATCTTACCCTACATCTAAGTCATTAACAAAGATGTTGAACGGAACCGGGTCCAGGACAGAACCCTGCTGATGCCATTTCACTTGTCACTGCTTTCCAGGATGAAGAGGAAGCATTGGAGAGAATCACCCTCTGGGTTCATTCACTTAACCAATTACAGATCCACCTAACCGTAGTTTTGCCTAGCCCACATTTGACTAATCCAAGCTTGAAGTTCCAGTTTCTAATATCTTTTACAAGCCAGGAAGCAAAAACATTCTATTTTGCGTAGGCTAAAAGTTTTGGGAACAAGAAGGGCCCTTACATTCAGGTAATATACTAAGTTTCAAACTTGTTTAATATGTAGCCCCTCAAATAAAAGGGAAAGCCAAGAGGATGAAAAGGGTAAACCAAGAAAACCAAGCCACCAGCATATCCTTGCCGTATCTATCCATCCAACAGAAAACCATTCATTTGGTGCTCACAACACTAAATTGGCACTGTCCCCAAATGAAATAGGCAACAGATGAACCCATGTTTCTGCAAGGAAAAAAGCATTAGACAGAATAAGAGGTGGAACCGCTTGTGAAATGTGTATGCTTTGATTTGAAAGACAAAATATGGGCATATTACTCTCTATCCTCTTTTTATTTCGGTTTTTCTCAAGGGCAGAAGAAAACAGATCAGAAAAGTGTAACTTATATCCCAAGCTACATATATGGGGAGGGCAGAGCCACTGTCTAGGCAGCAGAGGGAAGGGGGTTTGAGAAACGGTAGCAGAAGCTGCAGATTTACCTAGAGAAAAGATTCTTGACGCTATCCCAAATGCTAACGACCGTGCTACTAACTTTTTCCGAGAAACTGAGGGGGCCGAGCAGGAGGGGGAGGCACGAACCAACAAAAACAGAAAACACAATGAGAGTCAGTGCATGGAATCTCAGATGGCACAGCCCCTACTTTGGCCCTGCTCCAACCTAGCTTTGTGAGGACAATGGGAAGCAAGTTAGGAACGAAGGGACGGATGGGTGAACTAGCATCTCCCATATACAAAAAGCCTGCTGCTTTTCCTACACCAGACTCCACAAATCTGGTGCCTTTCCACATATGTTGGACCACAAGCCATATTATCTAGGCAGCCTGACTGTTGGCTGGTTGATCGTGGTTGTAGTCCAACACAACTGAAAGGCATCAGATGGGGGAATCTGGTCTATCTTTTTCGAAACCTTATTTTGTGCCCCCAAATAGGAAAAAAAATGGTCATCTATATTAGCTTTCAAAAATACACTGAAATGGACTATGATGATGATGTAATAATAATAATAATAATAATAATAATAATAATAATGCTTTATTTCTAACCCATCCTCTCTTCCCAAGGGGACTCAGGGTGGCTTCCATGACGACTTATTGGTGAGAGACTGAGACTAAAAGCAGCCCCTTTCAGAAAAGATAACCCTTCTAGGGTTCAACGAATGATGCCTCCAAATAAAACAGGCAGATTGTCATAGCCAAAAGCTTTCAGTTCCATAGAGCATTATTTATTATTATTTACTATATTTATATACCACCTTTCTCACCCATGGGGGGACTCAAGGCAGTTTATAACATATTAATGGCAAAACTTCAATGCCAACATACAGTAACACAAAGAAATCATAATAACTAATTGCTGCATATAACTTTGACTTAAAATAATTAAAACCATTAAGCATAAGACATAAACAAAATTTAAACATTCAGACAAAGCATTAAAATCATCCTAGTATAAATATTGAAATCACATTTTAAAAAACTGTAAGCATATAAGGAATCTTGATGTGCAACATTGGTACCGCTCATTGTGATAGTCTCTCCCAGGATTAAAAGAAGGACTGGAACAAAAAGAAAATATAACCCTCACCTCCCAAAAATTACTAATCTCACTTTAGGTATGCAGTGGCTTTCTCTGCAGAAATGACAAGGCTGGCTCATAAAAAAGAGAAAAGAAACTGAGGCGAATTGAAACTAGCACCCCGCTCTCTGCCTTTATTTCACCAAGTCAACAATTTAAATATTTGAAATCCATAATCACCAACCCAAACAGTCCCATCCTTTCTCAACAAACAGTCCCACCCTTTCTCAGCAGGCTCCCATCTGGTTTCGTTGCAGTCTTCTCTCCTAGGAGATCCCATTCATTCTGCTGAAGGAAATCAGCATCTGGGAATTCTAAGACCCGCCGCAAACTAGGTTCCTGCGGGAGAAAACCTTGCCAGCACGTCCCTGACGTCATGAGACTCCGCCTCTCACCCCGCCCCTTTCTCCGCCCCTTTCTCCGTGCCAGCGTGGTTTTTCCTTTGCTAGGGCAGCATTGCCAGCGTACTCTCTCAGTTGGCAGAATTCAACTGAGAGAAAATGCGGGCAATGCTGCCCTAGCAAAGGAAAAACCACACTGGCAAAGAGAAAGGGGCGGAGAAAGGGGCAGGGAGAGAGGCGCAGGCTCATGACGTCAGGGACGTGCTAGCAAGGTTTGCTCCCGCAGGAACCTAATTTGCGGCGGCTCTAAGCAGGAAGAGAGGACACTGGATTGCCCCAGTACTCACGAGTCCTTCCTCTGGCGCAGATGCTCAAAGACCAGAAGCCCCCGGGAGTTGACACTCAGCACCAGCTCCCGGCCCTCCAGCAAATCCATGCGGAACGGTTTAGCCGTCAGGATGAGCTTGTGGCTCTCATCTCCCAGGGACAACTCCACACTCTCATCGTCACGACCTGTCACAGATAATCTTGGGGATGAGAAAAGGGTACCGGGAAGAGGGGGAGGGGGAGAGAGAAGGGGGGAGAGAGAGGGGGAGAGAGAAGAACGCCATGGCTGAAATCAGTAGGCAGTAAACACACTTCTAGAGAGGGAGGGGTCAGGCTCATTGCAACATTCTAATTCAGTGAGGATCAAAGATCCCAACAGGAGACATTTCAGGGTCAGACGTCATCTATGCCTCCTCCTAAGGTTTCATATGTCCTCTGACTTTTCCTTCACTTGCTAAACTAACTACATAAGTAACTAACATAAGATTGAGAACTAGGCTGAGATTGTCAGAAACTGGAGCCCAGTACCATGTAGAGAGCCAAAGATGTCCAGCTTTGGCTAAAGCATTTGAGATTTCTCAGTTAGGACAGCTGAGGGAAAACATGAGAGGTTTCCACAAGAATTATGTCACAGAGGAGAGGTTCCTCCTCACCTCTTTCTCTGTACCATTAGAACTTGGAACTGAGCATTTGAAGAATTTTTCTCAATCAGTCCAATTGTTCTTCTAATTAATGCCCTTTCCCAGATCCTCTACTGCTGCTGCCTAACACCTTCACTTTAGGAGCAGACAGCCTCTGAATATAATATTAGCTTATTATAGTACATTTTAAGTCTGTCCTTCCTCCAGTATAAGGAGGCCACTAAGAGACGTATCATTCTCCAGGAATTTCTCTGAAAGCTCTCCTAAAGCCTGTCAAACTAAAAATGGCATGACGCTTTAGGGCAATTCCATAAATTCAGTACACAAAATACTCCCTTTTGAAACATTTGCCATTTACTTGGATGCAGCTGTGCTTTAATGTTATACGACAGAGAATTTTAAAAACAAAAGGGTCTTACCAAACTCCCGCCCCCAACACAACCCACACAATGATGGCTGCTGCGTTGGGCTATGCAGCCTTCCTTCCATATACCTTGAGGTAGGTGGGTCCTGGATTAACACATCGGGTACCTCATAGCGAGGTTTGAGTGGATTCAGCTCATTGATCCGGATCCGGGTGATATTCCCTTTCAAGCCATAGAGCTCAAGGAGGAGAGGAACCTGGAAGGGGAGACGACGGTCAAGATAGTTTGTAGTCCTTCAAATGCTACACCCCTTGTTGTCAATTGGACTGGCTGAAGCTGATGGAAGTTTCGTGTGGGATTTTCCTTTCAAGGAAAGTTTATGCAGACTCCCTTTCTATTCCCCTTCAGTCAGAAGATTAAAAAAAAGACTTGGGCAGAAACTGTTGCTTTCGGTTAGGATCTTGGTAATTAAGATGAATGTTCTACCAAATATGTTCTTTTAACTTCAATCTTTCCTAATCACACAGATGACATTCCATTTAAAACAATGGCAAAAAGACCTGTCATCTTTTATTTGGCAAGGAAAGAGATTCAGGGTCAAATTCAAGACTCTGCAAAATGATAAGAAAGGAAAAATTAGATGACACTGAAGAACAATGACTACTACAACTAGGGGACTCCAGTTTTAAATGTGGTGTACATGCTTACTTTGATACGATGAAATAAAAGCAGACTCAAGTTTTAACAGCCACTTCATAAAGGCACCACTACTGTGAGTTTGGAATAGATATCAGAACAGACCTCAAACAAAAATGACAATACAACAACAAAAAGGTGCTAGTATTAATTTTGTTACCAGTGTTTTTAACTGTCTTAAACTTGTTCTATGTTTTAATTATGGTTTTCTTTCGTTGACTAGTATTAGTTATTTTGAGGATCGATCTGTGTCCAAAAAGCGAGATATAAATTTAAAAAGTCTCTTTTAATTTACCTTGTTAACTTCATTGATCAGTTGGATTTTCATAGAATCTTGGCTGAGCTGCAGTGATTCCAGCAAAGCCCTGTAAGGGGAACTCCTGGCCTTCATGTTCCTCTGGCGCCTAAAGGGCAAGGATAATTAGTTACCACAGTTGCATCTACACTGCTGTCTTACCTCATCTTAAGAGAACAACAGACTACTCCCAAACATCATAACTGAAAGCAATTTACATTCTGACTTCATCTCAGTCTGGAAGTTTACAAAATACAGCTAAAAAGTATACTTCAGCCACAAGTAGAAAAGATGACATTTACCACTTTAGAAAAGATGACATTTACCTAAATTCTTCCTCAATATCCCAAAAATGTGAATTGTGATAGAGAAATTAATCTCAACCTGTTTTCCTGTTTTCAGGAGATCCATGACTTACTTGCAAAAGCCACTCTGATCACAGGTCTTGAAATTGCTTCTGTCCACAGCAGAGATGACTGCTAGGAAAAGAGTGAACCAAACAACGGCTGCCATCCTAAGCAAAGTGGAACATAAAACGTTGCAGACAACATATGAGTTCATGGATCTTGTTTCCACATGATGTGTCAAAGGCTGCTGAGCTTTTTGAAAACACAAGTCCTGTGTAGTAGCTCAAAACTTGGTGGTGCCCTTCCAGAACACGTAAGACCCCATCTATATACTGCCACATAATGCAGTTTCATAATACAGTTCAATTGCATTGAACTGCATTATATAGTAGTGTAAATGGAGCCTTAGTCTCACAGCTAGAGCAATACTAAGCTGGGTAGAAATCAGAACTCTACATGCTTCGGGTCTTTTCAAACCTTATCTAAACATGGGACTTCAGCAAGGAAAACATGCACTTAACTACTGGTATGTCTCTTTCCTAAGTTGTGGTAGTTGATCAACAAGAATTTACATTTCCCTATGATCTAACATCTGGAGCCCTCGGTGGCACAGTGAGTTAAACCCTTGTGCCGGCAGGACTGAAAACCAACAGGTCGCAGGTTCAAATCCGGGGAGAGCATGGATGAGCTCCCTCTGTCATGTGGAAGTCACGTGGAAGTCATGAGAGAAGTCTCCCACAAGGATGGCAAAACATCAAAAACCTCCTGGCGTCCCCTGGGCAACGTCCTTGCAGACAGCCAATTTTCTCACACCTGACACACACACACACACAAACAGCTGAAAGCGGAACTGCCCATTCTACACAAGACAATTTTTTATATAGGGCAAATTGCAGGGTTTGTATATGTAGACTATTCAAGTTTAGAAATCTTCCACAAGATTTGGAAACTTTAATTCTTTAGACCACAAGTTTGAGTGACAAAAATGTTTTCCGAAGTAACATTTTTAGCATGTAAATGACTTGCTAAGCAAAGAGCAAAGAGTAGACATTAACTATCAGAGCAAAGGTTATTTCCAAATGTGCCTATGCTGAAACCAGGTATCTAAGAAATGTAGCAGGACCAGCGCAGCAATGGCATGGACAATTCAAAAGAGTCAATTTCAATGGCATGCATTAAAACTTTCCTTTGCATCCTAAGCATTTCAAAACATAAACTATAAGTTCTCTAATACACCTTCACCCCTCTATATTTCTTTCTTACCTCTTTTTGTCCCTTTCCCTTTCCTTCTCTTTCTTTCATCCTCTCCCCTTATACCTTTTTCTCTTCCTTCTCTTTTTTGTCCTTCCTTCTTTTTTCCACTTTTTTTTCCAATTCAGGAAGGTGCTAAAACCTGGTTTTTAAAGCAAGCCTCCAATAATGGCTAGGATATTATTTAACAATTGGACAGGATTGGAAAGAGGGAGCAGGATATAAATAAAATGTATTTATTCTCTTTCTTTCCTCCCCTTACACTTTTCCCCTTTTTTCTCTTCCTCCTTCTTTCTTCCTTCTCATTTCCTTCTTTTCCATTTTTTCTCTTTCTTTCCATCTTTCCTTCGTTCCTCATGTCATCAGCAACAGCCAATCTGTTTTGAGAACTTTCTTTCCCTCACCTCTTGACCCAAAAAGGGGTGGTTCTCTTAGTTCAAACCTTCTACTATTTTAAGTTGGATCATGAAGTTTGCCAAATTTGGTCCAGATCCATCAAGCCACTGAGCCATTGTAATACAAACCAACAGACAAACATACATACATCTATATGATCAGATCAACATGCACCCAACCATAATATGAAATCTAAAGCAATTCAAATTCTTTGGCTTCTATGAATCACATCTTTTATTTTCAGACAAAAACATTAATAGCACCCTTGAATATATAACACTATTTTAATAATAATAATAAAAACTTTATTTATAGACCACCCTACCTCCTCGAAGGGAATCAGAGGGTTCCAACAAATATGGCAAACATTCAATGCCCACCCCCCAAAAAGCCATACAAACAGTCTACATCAGGACAAAACACATTAGACAATAGAAAACAGAACTATAAATTAATTAAAAAATAGCAAAAAAAAAAGAAATAAAATAAAAATAAAGTAAAAAAATCATAAAATACAAAAAACCCTGATAAATAACACAAAAAATAATAAATAAAACTGAATACATTGGAGCTTCACCAGGAGAGGTTCAACAATAGCAATGGCCAGGAGTGCTAAAAATGAACAGTAATGTAGACAGCTTCGAGTCTCCTTGTGGAAAGAAAAAGCAGTGTATAAATAAATTTAATAATAATAGAAAAATGAACGTTCAACAGGTAAAAATGGAAAGTGGTCAGTGTTGAGCTTTTTCGTGATCGCAGAACACAGTGAACTAGATTTCAAAATAGCAGGTCAACTATGTGTATGTCTACACCAGGCATGGGCAAACTTCAGCCCTCTGGGGGTTTTAAACTTCAACTCCTGCAATTCCTAGCAGCCTACCGGCTATTAGAAATTGTGGGAGTTGAAGTCCAAGGCCCCTGGAGGGCCGAAGTTTGCCCATCCTGGTCAACACTGTGGAAATAATGCAGTTTGACACCGTTTTAACTGTGCTATGGATTACAGACGTAGTTTTACAAGCTCTTTTGCCTTCTCTGTTGAAGTCTGCTCGTGTCTCAATAAACTATAATTCCCAGGATTCCGTAGCATTGAGGCACTGCAATTAAATTGATTTAATTCTGGATTAATTTGGCAGTAAAGAGATGCATTCCATGACTTTATGGAGGTGGGGATAGTCACAGGTCCGCAGTCTGGGTGTCCTCCTGGACTCATCACTTACGCCTGAAGCTCAGGCGTCGGCTGGGAAGGCCTTCGCACAATTAAGACTCGTGCGCCAGCTGCAACCGTACCTCGTGAAGTCAGATCTGGCCAGGGTGATCCATGCCTTAGTCACCTCCAGATTGGATTACTGTAATGCACTCTACGTGGGGCTGCCCTTGAAAATGGCCTGGAAATTTCAATTGGTACAACGGGCAGCAGCCAGGTTACTAACTGGTGCTTCTTACAGACAGCGGTCAACCCTCCTGTTTAAGGAGCTCCACTGGCTGCTGTTCATTTTCCGCTCCCAATTCAAGGTGCAGGTTCTTAACTAGAAAGCCCTGAACCGTTTGGGATCCGCCCAACTGCGTGACCGCATTTCTGTGTATGAACCCACACAATCTCTTCATTCATCTGGAGGGACCCTACTCGTGCTCCTGCCTCCTTTGCAGGCGTGATTGGTGGGGATGAGGGAGAGGGCCTTCTCGGTGATGGCCCCCACGACTCTGGAACTCACTTCCCAAGGACATCAGACATGCCCCAACGCTGGCAGTCTTTAGGAGCCTGAAAACGTGGCTGTTCCAGTGTGCCTTCCCAGAATATGGAATTTGTCCTCAAAATGCACTTTACCATTGATTTAGGATTGCCTGCGTGCCCTCATCTTTCTTTGAAAACCCTATCCCAGTTATATCCTACCTTGTTCATGCTCAGCATTATTTTTTAAATTTTAAATTATTACATTTGGCCCGGCCATAGGTTTTTAAATGCTTGTGTGTTGTTGTTATTGTTTATATTTTTGTTTATGAGATTTATATTAACTGTTTTGTATTGATTATTGTTATTGCTTTTGTTTATTGATTCACTGTGGGCTCGGCCTCATGTAAGCCGCACCGAGTCCCTTGGGGAGATGGTAGCGGGGTATAAATAAAGATTATTATTATTATTATTATTATAAGATAGTAAGACAAGAAAGCAAACCAAAAGCCTGACTTAGGAAAAGTAAGCAGCATTATTTGGGTAAAGCGATTACAGAAACGTGAGAGAACAGGAAGCCATGTTTACAGGCGCCAAGTCCAACTTCCCCAGGGAAAGAGGGAAATCTCCATTCATTTCTTGCTCTGCTCACGAACTTGGCAGGGCCGGAAGTGACGTGGGCACATCGAGGGAAGGCCCAGACAGGCACCTGTGGGAAGGCAGAGGGCCAGCGGAGGGGGAAACGGCGAGGGCAGCAAGCGGACAACATTGGGAGGTACTGCCCTAGATATCTGGTGGTGACTCCCGGCCTTTGGTTAAGCGAGAGCCTCGCCCGAACACTTCCTTCACCCGCAAACCTCCCCGGTCAGCTTCGCCTTACCTCCTCAGAGCTACCGCCGGCGCCATCTTGGATCTCGATTGGCCACGCCCCACCGCGAGCCTCGACCGAGGGATCTCATTGGCTCGTGCTGAAGAAGCCCCGCCCACCGCTCCTCGCGCCCGAGGAAGGAGGGACACAAACGCGGCGCTTGCGATTGGTTGGAAGAGGTGATGCGCATGCGCTGTAGGATCCGAGCCTTGGAAGAGGTCTACAGGGATATCCAGTCCAACCCCCTTCTTTAAAAAACTCTTGCTTAAAAACTCCCATCACCTTCATTGTCATCATCATAGAATCATAGAATCAAAGAGTTGGAAGAGACCTCATGGGCCATCCAGTCCAACCCCATTCTGCCAAGAAGCAGGAATATTGCATTCAAATCACCCCTGACAGATGGCCATCCAGTCTCTGCTTAAAAGCTTCCAAAGAAGGAGCCTCCACCACACTCCGGGGCAGAGAGTTCCACTGCTGAACGGCTCTCACAGTCAGGAAGTTCTTCCTCATGTTCAGATGAAATCTCCTCTCTTGTAGTTTGAAGCCATTGTTCCGCGTCCTAGTCTCCAGGGAAGCAGAAAACAAGCTTGCTCCCTCCTCCCTGTGGCTTCCTCTCACATATTTATACATGGCTATCATATCTCCTCTCAGCCTTCTCTTCTTCAGGCTAAACATGCTCAGTTCCCTAAGCCGCTCCTCATAGGGCTTGTTCTCCAGACCCTTGATCATTTTAGTCGCCCTCCTCTGGACACATTCCAGCTTGTCAATATCTCTCTTGAATTGTGGTGCCCAGAATTGGACACAATATTCCAGATGTGGTCTAACCAAAGCAGAATAGAGGGGTAGCATTACTTCCTTGGATCTAGACACTATGCTCCTATTGATGCAGGCCAAAATCCCATTGGCTTTTTTTGCCGCCACATCACATTGTTGGCTCATGTTTAACTTGTTGTCCACGAGGACTCCAAGATCTTTTTCACACGTACCGCTCTCGAGCCAGGCGTCACCCATTCTGTATCTTTGCATTTCATTTTTTCTGCCAAAGTGGAGTATCTTGCATTTGTCACTGTTGAACTTCATTTTGTTAGTTTTGGCCCATCTCTCTAATCTGTCAAGATCGTTTTGAATCCTGCTCCTGTCCTCTGGACTATTGGCTATCCCTCCCAATTTGGTGTCGTCTGCAAACTTGATGATCATGCCTTCTAGCCCTTCATCTAAGTCATTAATAAAGATGTTGAACAGGACCGGGCCCAGGACGGAACCCTACGGCACTCCGCTCGTCACTTCTTTCCAAGATGAAGAGGAAGCATTAGTGAGCACTCTCTGTGTTCGTCCACTTAACCAATTACAGATCCACCTCACCGTAGTTTTGCCTAGCCCACATTGGACTAGTTTCCTTGCCAGGTCATGGGGGACCTTGTCAAAGGCCTTACTGAAATCCAGGTACGCTACATCCACGGCATTCCCCGCATCTACCCAGCTTGTAGCTCTATCGAAGAAAGAGATCAGATTAGTCTGACATCAAATATTATTATTACAGAATCCTAGACTTGAAAGAGACCAAAGGGCAAAGCCCTCCCAATAGATGGACATCCAGCCTGTACTTAAAAACTTCACCAGAATTTCCAGAGGAGATTCCATCATCATTATCATCATCATCAAAGATTATTATTATAGAATCCTAGAGTTGCACAACAGCCATCCAGTCCAACACCCTTCTGCCTAGTAGGTAGGCACAATCAAAGCCCTCCCAGAAGATGGCCATCCAGCCTCTGCTTAAAAATCTCAAGAAGAGACTCAATTGGACTCCGAGGCACCATATAGACAGTTCTTACCATCAGTTCTTCCTAATATTTAGTGAAATCTCTAGTGTCCAGAGAAGCAGAAAACAAGCTTAGCCCCTTTCCTCAATGTGACATTATTTATTTATTTACTTACTTCATTTATATACCGCTTTTCTCAGCCCCTGGGCAACTCAAAGTAGCAAAATTCAATGCTCCACATCATAAAAACAGTTAAAAACAATTAAAATAATAATAAACAGTTAAACATCAATATAACATGTCAATATGACATGCTTTCAAATATTTCAATCTCCTTCTCTTGCAGCTAGGGCAAACTGGATGGCCATCTGTCAGGAGTGCTTTCACTGTGTCTTTCTGCCTGGCCGAATAGGGTTGGACTGGATGGCCCTAGAGGTCTCTTCCAACCCTAATACTCTGTGCCTTTTAATGATACAGCCAAAGTGTGACAATTTCTGTTATCTTAGGTTCTGGGAAGATTTCTTTATTCAGCCATCATCCAGTTGAAGTGCTTTTCAGTGAAGACTGAAGTGACATAAACATGACTGGCAGAAGACCTCTGTGTAATAATCCCCAATAGGCCTGTTTCAAATATTCCTTTCCTGAGCAAGATTTCAGAATGTGTGCTTTTATTTAATACTAGATTGGGTCCCCGGCGTTGCCTGGGCTATTTAAAAAAGTCAATTTTTAATTGTACAAAATTCATAAAGTTGTGGGTGAACTACAACTCACATCATGCATGGTTAACCCCAAAAAACTCAATTAGTACTTAGTTTATGTTGGGCAAGTTTGCTTTAGACTCATCACCAGTGGGGTTCAGTGTGCTCTCTGGCTGTAGGGTAAACTACAACTCCCACTATGGTGAGTCAATCTCCTCAAACTCCTCCAGTAGGTTGAATTAATCATCGGTGGAGGTCACCATTTCTCTGGCTGTGGGTGACCTACAACTCCCAGAAAGGAAGGTCAGTTCTCCCAAACCCCTCCAGTAATTACATTTCAGCATATCAGGTATGTGTGCCAAGTTTGGTCCAGGTTCATCAGTGTTTGGGTTCACAGTGCTCTCTGAATATAACTGAACTACAATTCCACCAAATCAAGGTGCATTTTCCCCAAAGACCTCCAGTATTTTTTGCTGGTCATGGGGGTTTTGTGTGCCAAGTTTGGTCAAATTCCATCTTTAGTGGGGTTTAGAGTGTTCATTAATTTGCAGGTGAACTGTAAATCCCAGTACCTACAACTCCTACAATTCATGGTGAATTTTCCCCAAACTTCTAGTATGTTCAGTTGCTGATAAATTCCTCTGTTTGCTGTGCGCCACAGAAAAGAGTAGAAAAGGGTTAAGGGAGAGGCAGTGGGTAGGGTGAGGCAAATTCCACACCAATGGAGAGAGAAACACTGAGATGTCTGTGGTGGAGGAAAAACAGAAAATCTAGAAGGAAAGCCTTCACTTGGATGGTGGGCAGTATGGTGTTTTGGGGGACTTTGGCAGGGCTCCTGTACAGTCTTTAGGAGGAGCCTGAAAACGTGGTTGTTCCAGTGTGCCTTCCCAGAATAAGGAGAACTCTCAGCAATATGCCCTCATAATGCACTTTAATACTGACTTAGGATGGACTGTGTTCCCTCGTTTCTCTCTAAAAACTCCTATCCGTTATATTTTACCTTGTTCGTGTCAGCATATTTTCAATTTTAATCTATTACATTTGGCCCGGCCATTTTTAAAATTGTTTATATGTCACTATTGATTGTTGTTTTTTGTTTATGTGATTTATATGATTTGTATTTTATTGACTGTTTTATTTATGTTGTGTTTATTGATGTTTTGTTTGATATACTTTGGGCTTGGCCTCATGTAAGCCGCGCCGAGTCCCTTGGGTAGATGGTAGCAGGGTACAAATAAAGATTATTATGTTTGCAGCACTCACTGTAACCTACAATATGACTGGAGGGAGGCCTTTGGTGTCACCTGAGTAGTGGGAGCTATGGCTATGGTGGGAGGCGGGAGGCTGTAAGCAGGAGGTTGTCAGTCACATACACACACATATATTTTCACTTTTATTGTGGATATAGATAAGATAGAGATAGATAGAGAGAGAGAGAGAGAGAGAGATAGATATTGTATGCTTTTGGATGATTTTATATTGTCATGATGTCATGTGTTTTAACTGTGAATTATTTCACATTGTTGGGATGATTTTTCATTATGTTCAAAATTTTCATGTCCAGTTTCAACCGAACATTTAGTTGCCTTGAGGAAATGGGGAGACAATAGGCATATAAACTGAATAAATAACCTGCAACACATGAGGTTACATTTTGAAAGTTCCTTTGGAGCTAATGAAAGTATTTAGTATGCAGTATATATAGCCAATACTGTGGCTTGCTTTTTTGCAAGGCCTTGCATTGTCTTTCAAAACCAAACCCGTCTATTGCTTATTATTACATTTACATTTATTTATTTTAAAGGTATTTTCAACCATTTTCAATCTTGTTTTCAAAGACCCTCCCTCGGATCAACTGCAGACATTTGGGGTTGTTTTTCTACAAATAAGGGGCACAAAACCACCTAAAACAGACATGGGCAACCTTGGGCCCTCCCGGGGTTTTAGACTTCAACTCCCACAATTCCTAACAGCCTCAGGCCCTTTCCTTTTCACCCTCATCCACTTAAGCTGAGGAAAAGGAAAGGGGCCTGAGGCTTTAGGAATTGTGGAATTCCTTGGGCCCTCTAAAACACCTGGAGGGCCCAAGTTTGCCCATGCCTGACCTACAACTTCTACTCCATTTCTGTGATACTCCTTTTGGGGGCAAATCTAAATAAATGTCACAATTGCTTTTAAAAGGCAGGGCAACCATGCCTTAAGACCTGCAGAAGAGGTTCAATTCTTGACGTTAGAACTGCAAGGACGCCGTTAAGTATGGAACCGCCCCGAAAGCAGCCCGAGACGGTCAATGTTCTTATGCAGGACGCTGTGTAAAACACAAAGGTATTTCCCAGCATCAGCATCTCTGGAAAAGTCCCGGAAGAAGCGCCCGGTGCTGGCATTGAAGGTGAACTTCTGTGGCAAAGGGCTGTTGTCATGCATGTAGTCCCAAACGCTGAGCAGCAAAAGGTGGACTTCAAAGGGGGCCAGTTGGTCAAAGATCTCATGCATGTTGCTCAAAACGGCGGGAAGGAGATGGCCTTCCCCCATGCAGGCCACCAAGTCACAAGAAGCCTGCAGGTGCCAAGGGGAGCTGGTGGTGTCGTTCTCCCGCGAAGCCTCCCAGTGGGCCATGAGGGTGGCCATCAGGCCGCGGAGCAGCACTGAGCAGTAGCACAAGGCTGGTCGGCCCACCGCCACCAGATGCAGAAGCTGGAATAGGAGAGGGTTGTCCCGGAAAGCACGCCCAATTTGTATGTCCCGCTCCACAGTGTTGCGTGTGTGATCCTCGGGAGGCCAGGCCAGTTCACTGTTGGTGACATCTGGACATACCGTCTCCACTAGAACCACCGCCACTGTCTTTGCTGCCTCCGGGTTTACAGAAACATGCTGGGCAGGCTCTTGGCCATAGCGGCCCATCCCACAACACTGAAGCAACACGGTTAAAAAGTTCTGGATGTTGTGAGATATCTCCTCCAGTTCCCGCTGATGTGGGGCATGTGGTGGTTTTAAGCCCTGGCCAATAACTCCGGCGTGGAACACCGACCACACGCTTCCGGAGAAGTTCACCGCTGTCATGAAGCGCCGGTTGATGTCCAGCAGAGACAGCTTGGCTCCTTCCAAAAAAATGTCACTTGCCACCAATGGCGGCTCAGAGACTCCACCAAAGAGCTCAGCTTTGCTGGGATGCAGGGCTCCCTCCACCAAGTACTGGAGGATAGCCTTGCTGGCTGTGAGAGATGCCCTGCTGAGGCAGCAAAGGAGGCGGCTTGCATAGCTGATGCCGGTGGGACACTGGGAGTGCAGAACGAGGAAGAAGTGGTGCACGGCGGAGCGGATGAGGAAGAGAAGGTGGGCGGGTCGAATGGCCTTTGGGATGGGGCAGACAGAAAGAAGTAAGGCGGCCGCTTGGGCCACCTCAGGATTGTGGTGCAACAGGAGCTGGCCAAAGTCATAGATGTGGAAGGAGACAGCTTGACCCAGATGGTGGCCCATAGAGGTAGGGCCCTCTCCCTCCCATTGTATGATCATTGCCAGGTTTTGGAGCAACTGGGCCGTGTGCTGCTCAGAGAGGCCCACGGAATGAATCTGGCAGACAGACTTCTTGACGGTGGCTGGCAGCAGGTCACTCATGCAAGAGCTAAGCACAGCATAGAGCTGCATGGCCAAACTTAGTTCTTCCTGGCCTTTGGCTAGAGTCAGCAGATAGAAGAGAGCCTCACTGGCACAGCTTGGAGTGCAGTGAACAGAAAGGAGGACAAGCAGCTGGTGCTGCCACAAAAAGCGCTTCCTTTCCAGCCGCAGTGTCTCCATACAAATCTCCTGCACATGGCTCTTCAGCTCATCTAAGAAAGGTATAACGCGGGGAGGGGCTTCTGCCAAGTTGGCTGAACCTCTGTTGTACACCAGCTTCTGAAGGTTCAGGAGGAGGAGCTGGATGATGCGGTCACAAGCCTCTCGTACGCTATCGTGAACGGCCAAGCATGGGGTGGTGATGACAGACGCTGGCATAGCTGTGTTGATGAGGAATTGCAGGGTCTGGTACGCACCTTCCGATGTCTGGCAGATAAGGTGCACCACGATGCTGACCATGTTTTCTAGATCCTCCCGAGGCAGCAGAACAAAGTGCTGGTGCAATTGGTTGAGGATGGCTGGCTTGAGAGAATCCACCAGTTCAACGGAGATGGTGCCCAGCAGAGTAGGGGACATAATGGCCAACTGGAGCAAGAAAGGTACCGTGGCTTTCTGCTGCTGGTCCCATGTGGGACCCAGGCTCCCGTGAAACATTTTCAACAGCTCCTGCTTGATGCTCTCTGAGTGCCGAGAGGCCAGGTGGCCCAGGATGCCCACCACTGAAGCAATCTTGGGTACTCTCTTATCAGAGGATGTGGCGCTCGGGAAAAGGAGGTCCACTGAAGCCGTCCCATGCATGCAGAAGTCCTTCAGGCCACAGGACAGCACACGGTTGATAATCGTGTTGGGGAAGGATGAGCCAATATGGGCTACCACCCAATCAAAGTGAGGCGAATGCTGGACGGAGGTATCCAAAAGGGCATCAACACAGGCATCCGGGCAGGTATTAATCATAGAGGAAAGGCACTGGGTGTAGATCTCCATCAAGGTCCGTGTGGCCTTGCAAGACATCCAGAGTTGAAGGAGCTCATTAAGGCTGCTGGCATGGGGCACGCCATGTCGGCCAGCATACTTACTACTCAGTTGCCCCATGAGATCGATGGACCAGGCTGAGACCAAGGCAGCCCATGCCTTGGGGTTCATGCGGACAAAGTCAGACAGCACGGCTTGGATCTCCTGCACCACATCATCCAGATTGGGACCCTGGGTGTGAATAGAGACTATCCCACTCTCGCCACTTTCCAGATCCAGCAAGTACGTGCACACATACTCATCGAAGACGCCCCGTAAGTGGTCCAGGACAGCACTGCGGGCAGGTGGCAGGCTGCGCAGCAGCAAAATTCCACAGCGGGCATGTTCTTTAAGTGTGAGTTTGTTGCCATGGACAGGGTCTATGCCACTGAGGAAGGCTTTGATCTCCTGGGCCAGTTCTTGTGAACTGCAAGAAGAGAAACGAAACACATCATCAGTTTTGAGTCAGTGGAACTCTGAGAGAGATGTAAGAACTCGAGGGGAAAGTGTCATTGTCTTTGTTATTCTGCCCCAAGAAAAGTTTCCTGTGAAGGAGTCCCCTTAACTAGATTCAGACTATTTAAACAAGGGGTTTGTTACATTTACAGCAGAATCTCACTTATCCAACATAAACGGGCCAGCAGAATGTTGGATAAGCGAAAATGTTGGATAATAAGAAGGGTTTAAGGATTAGGGTTACGCTATGATTACGTTATGATTTTATAAATTAAGTACCAAAACATCATGTTTTACAAAAAATCGAGAGAAAAAGCAGTTCAATACATGCTAACATTATGTAGTAATTACTGTATTTACAAATTTATAACAGACAAGGATTCTTTCTTTCTCCTACCCTGGACTGCGTTGGATAAGCAAAAGTTGGATAAGTGAGACTATTGTATATCCAAAGTATCTTCCAATGAGCTCAAAGTTCATACTCATATGTATAAAGGTAAATGTTTCCCCTTGACATTAAGGCTAATCGTGTTTGACTTTGGGATGGTGCTCATCTCCATTTCTAAGCCAATGAGTTGGCATTGTCCGTAGACCCCTCCAAGATCATGTGGCCAGGATGAATGCATGGAGCGCTGTTATCTTCCCACTGGAGCACTACCTACTGATCCACTCACATTTGCATGTTTTTGAACTACTAGGTTGGCAGACATTGAAGCTACCAGTGGGAGCTCACCCTGCTCCCCGAAGTTGAACTGCCGACCTTTTGGTTTAACTCGCTGCGCCACCGAGGGCTCCACCACTATACACACACAAACACACACACACATATCTCATAACAGCACTCCATGCAGTCATACCAGCCACATAACTTTGGAGGTGTCTATGGACAACGCTGGCTCTTTGGCTTAGAAATTGAGACGAGCACCAATGCCCAGAGTCGGACATGACTGGACTTAATGTCAGGGGAAAACATTTATCTTTATATACACAGAGGTCTGTGGGAGACAAAGTGTGCAGGAGGCCAATGTTGTCAATGAGTTTCAGTTGTGACTTGAACTTGGCTCTCCCGATTCTTTGACAGCACCACACCGTTGGCATTCTGACAATATATACATTATGAATGCCTTCTATTCTTCAAAATGGTCTTCCTTCCATTTTATTTTGTATCTTACACAATATCTGCAAACTCTATGAAGTATGACAACACGTTTTCCCTGTGACTAGAATATTAGAACCAGTTCATTTTGTTGTTTTTTATTCATTCAGTTCCTTCCGACTCTTCGTGACCACCCCCAGCTCCTTCAAGGTCAAGCCAGTCACTTCAAGGATCCATCTTGCCCTTGGTTGGCCCCTCTTCCTTTTTCCCCAGCATCATTGTCTTCTATAAGCTTTCCTGTCTCCTCATGATGTGGCCAAAGTACTTCATCTTTGCCTCTAATATCCTTCCCTCCAGGGAGCAGAACGGCTTTCTTTCCTGGAGGACGGACTGGTTGGAAGGCACTCTCAGGACTTTCCTCCAGCACCACACTTCCAAATCTTCCTTCGCTAAGCCTTCCTTATGGTCCAGCTCTCGCATCCATAGGGGATACAATTGCTTTAACTATGCGGATCTTCGTTGCCAGTGTGATATTTTATTGAGATTGGTCATTGCTTTCCTCCCAAGAAGGAAATGTCTTCTGATTTCCTGGCTGCAGTCTGCGCCTGCAGGAATCTTTGCACCTAGAAATACAAAGTCTGTCACTGCCTTCACGTCTTTTCTCTCTATTTGCCCGTTCTCAATCAGTCTGGTTGCCATAATTTTTGTTTTCTTTATGTTTAGCTGCAACCCAGCTTTTGCCCTTCCTTCTTTCACCTTGGTTAGAAGGCTCCTCAGCTCCTCCTTGCTTTCAGCCATAAAAGTGGTACCATCTGCATATCTCCAAGTAGCAACAGTAAGAACTTGACAATGGAACAACAGACTGGTTCAAGATTGGGAAAGGCATACGGCAGGGTTGTATACTCTCACCCAACCTATTCAACTTGTACGCAGAACACATCATGTGATGTGTGGGGCTTGAGGAATGCAAGGCTGGGGTGAAAATTGCTGGAAGAAACATTAACAACCTTAGATATGCAGATGTCACCACTTTGATGGCCGAAAGCGAGGAGGAGCTGAGGAGCCTTCTAATCAAGGTGAAAGAAGAAAGCGCAAAAGCTGGGTTGCAGCTAAACATACCCCCCCCCCCCAAGATTATGGCAACAAGAATGATTGACAACTGGGAAATAGAGGGAGAAAATGTGGAGGCAGTGACAGACTTTGTATTTCTAGGTGCAAAGATTACTGCAGATGCAGACTGCGGCCAGGAAATCAGGAGATGCTTACTTCTTGGGAGGAGAGCAATGTCCAATCTTGATAAAATAGTGAAGAGTAGAGACATCACACTGGCAACAAAGATCCGCATAGTTAAAGCAATGGTATTCCCCGTAGTCACCTACGGATGTGAGAGCTGGACCATAGGGAAGGCTGAGCGAAGGAAGAGAGATGCTTTTGAGCTGTGGTGTTGGAGGAAAGTGCTGAGAGTGCCTTCCATACTTCAAGAAATAAAGCCTGACTTCTCATTGGAGGGAAGGATAGTAGAGGCCAAGATGAAGTACTTTGCCCACATTATGAGAAGAAAGGAAAGCCTAGAGAAGGGAATGATGCTGGGGAAAGTGGAAGGCAAAAGGAAGAGGGGCCGACCAAGGGCAAGATGGATGGATGGCATCCTTGAAGTGACTGGCTTGACCTTGAAGGAGCTGGGGATGGTGACGGCCGACAGGGAGCTCTGGCGTGGGCTGGTCCATGAAGTCCATGGATTTTTTACACTATGTCTTGTAATTTGCACTGGTTTCCATGTTGTACACCGCAATGAGTCGCCCTTGGGCTGAGAATTGCGGTCTATAAGCGCAGTAAATAAATAAATAAGTCACGAAGAGTTGGAAACGACTGAACGAATGAACAACAACAACAATCTGCATATCTAAGGTTCAGTTAACTGAAAAGCTCCAACTGCGCCTATGCAAGCTGTTACAAACACAATCTAACCCAGGCCTGGGCCTTCCCTCCAGGTGTTTTGGACTTCAACTCCCACAATTCCCCACAGCCTCAGGTCCCTTCCTTTCCCCCCTCAGCCGCTTATGCTTGTGTGGCTGACGGGGGAAAGGAAAGGGACGGAGGCTGTGGGGAATTGTGGGAGTTGAAGTCCAAAACACCTGGAGGGAAGGCCCAAGATGGCCCAGGCCTGATCTAACCGAGCTTGCTTTCAAATCCAGGCTCCGTCCTCGTTGAGAGAGCCGATCATGGGCGCCCCTCCAGGAGGCCATGTCCTTCCCTCCCCTTCTGAATAGCCTTCAACATAGCTACCTAAGCGACGAGGGGCCAGGCATTGGTCTGGGGCTGGAAGAGGGCCCCGCGGGGCCCACGACCCCCGGAGGGTCGCACAGGGCCGACATGGTGGCCTCGGAGCCAAGACAAAGTGCCTTCCTCTTCGCGGCGACGGCTTTCGACCGCGCGTGCGCGCCTCGGCTTGGGGGAAGATTAAAAATAGAACACAGCGGCGTCACCGTCAAAACGGTCCGTGCGGCTTCTGCGACCTCCGTCCCTAAAGTTCCGCTTTGTTTTGATCACCTCCAGGTGGTTTCCTGCCCGGGTGGTGGTGTATTTTATTGGGTAGGGTTAGCATGTTTATAATTCCCATGTTTTCAGAGTGTTTTTTTCTGGCTATCAGCTTTTTAATACTGATAGCCAGAAACAATCATGGGCAGCTTTTTTTTTTGTCATGTCAGGAGCGACTTGACAAACTGCAATTCACTTCTGGTGTGAGAGAATTGGCCATCTGCAAGGACGTTGCCCAGGGGACGCCCGGATGAATTGATGTTTTTATCATCCTTGTGGGAGGCTTCTCTCATGTCCCCGCATGTGGAGCTGGAGCTGATAGAGGGAGCTCATCTGCCTCTCCCCTGATTCGAACCTGTGATTTGTCAATCTTCAGTCTTGCTGGTATAGGGGTTTAACCCACTGCGCCATGGGCAGCTAACACCTCCCAACAAAAGATTCCCACAGGCAGGAATTAGCCAGGCCTCAAAGCTGCAAGGTTTTTCAACGCTAATCAAGTTTCAAGGCTTGCTGCTTCTGCTTGGGAGAATTGTTTGCAGGGAGTGATTAGCTGGCCCTGATAGTTTCTTGTTTGGAATTCCCCAGCTTTTTGAGTGTTCTCTTCATTTACTGTGCTGGTTTTAGAGTTTTTAAAATACTGGTAGCCAGATTTTATTTATTTTCATGGTTTCCTTTTTGTTGTCCATATGCTTGTGGATTGCAATGCTTCTCTGTGTCTGACATGGTGGTCGTTAGTGATCGAGCATTTCTGTGTTCTCCAATAATCTGCTGTGCCCAGGTTGGTTCATCAGGTGCTCTGCTGAGGCTGTCTTCGCTGGTTGAATCAGTCTGCATCGCCTTTCCTATTCCTTGATTCGTGTGGGCAATGCTGCTCAGCCGCCCTGAGTCCCCCTCCCAGGAGTTGAGAAGGGTGGGGTACAAATGTTTGAAATAAATATAATAATTGGTGGTCCCTATGTATGCTGCACGGTATTCTATAGATTCCTGCAGAGGTGAGAGGATCCCTCTTGTCCCTTGCTGAATGGAGCATTTGTTGGATTTTCTTAGTGGGTCTGTAGATAGTGTGTAGGTTGTGTTTCTTCATCAGCTTGCCTATGCGGTCAGTAGTTTCTTTAATGTATGGTAAGGTAACCACTTGAAAGAACACTTTTCCTCTTGGTGGGTCTTTGTCTTGACTCTCGTGGCTTGTTCTTGGTTTTGTAGCTCTCTGATGTCTGTGGTGGAGTCTCCATTGACCTGTAGAAACCAATTTAGGTGGCTGAAGCCAAACAATGCTAAACAAGACGGCCAATTGCAGTATTCACACTTGCCTGAAACAGACAAGAGTTCTTTCTCCCAACCTGGACATTGTTCCACAGATATATAAACCCCACTTGTCTTGTTTTCAACAGACTTCACAATCTCTGAGGATACCTGCCATAGATGTGGGTGAAATGTCCAGAGAGAATGCTTGTGGAACATGGCCATACAACTCACAGGAGCCCTATATTGCTAATGTTTTATACATCTTATGTTTACCTTCCATTCCTTCCGTCAATTTGGGAGTGCAGATTTCTTGGAATAGGGATCTGTGATTTCATCAAGTACTTGCCGCCACAGCAATGCAAGTTGCAAACATTCCATTGTCAACTTCTCCAAAACTTTATGTTCAGTTCCAATGGCCAATGTATAATTTGGTTACAATTTTCTCTGAATTTCACAGGTACTCTGTTTCTGAGGCTATATTTGAAGCCTTATAGGCTTGAAAGAGTACAACAAATATAATCCTAATTCCCTATCCTTACAATAGCCTAGAAACACCTTCCTGTCCTCAGCCAGTCAGGAAAAACACTAAATCCAGGATATGGAATGGTTTCTTGCCATTTTATTGAGACAAAATTTGGGACCTAACACACAAAGCTTCAATACATAGAAACAGAAAAATTTTGATTATCTCAGTTTTACAATACAGAGTTTCTTTCTCTCCAATTGTATTCTGGTGTTGGAAATTCTTGCTCTATGAGCATGTATATGCACATGCACACAAACTGTATCAATGTGGGTTGCTATGAGTTTTCTGGGCTGTATGGCCATGTTCCAGAAGCATTCCTTCCTGGCATTTTCCCCACATCTATGGCAGGCATCCTCAGAGGTTGTGAGGTCTGTTGGAAACTAGGCAAGTGGGGTTTATATATATGTGGAATTTCCAGGGTGGGAGAAAGAACTCTTGTCTCCTGGAGGAAAGTGTGGATGTTGCAATTGGCCAGCTTGATTAGCATGAATGAACCAGTCAGGTTTTGAAGCTGCAAGGCCATTCAATGCTAATCAAGCTGGCCAATGGCAACATTCACACCTGCCTCAAGCAGAGAAGAGTTCTTTTTCACACCCTGGATATTATTTCATAGATATATAAACCCCACTTGCCTAGTTGCCAACAGACCTCACAACCTCTGAGAATGCCTGCTATAGATGTGGGTGAAACGTCAGGAGAGAATGCGACTGAAACATGGCCAGACAGTCCAGAACTCATGGCAACCCAGTGATTCCAGCCATGAAAGCTTTCGACAACACATTGTATCAATGTGGTTTTTATGGAAATCATTAAGACTGGAAGTCAAGTTGTAGTACCCATGTACTAGCAAGCATGCAGTGTTTTAAAGATAAGGCACCAAAAGCAACTTGCGAAGGGAAGCAGTAACTAGGCTGACATTCAATTTGTTCCCCCAAAGTCTTTTGTTTTAAGGAATTTGTTGTATCAAAGTCTAAGGGTCAAAATCCGCTGGCTTTTCTGGGTTTTGCAATCTGCGCATCCCTGTCATCCCCACTTTCAGTCCCATCGTACTACAATCTCAGGCAGCAAAGAGGAGCAAAAAAACTGAGCTTGAAGGCATTACAGGGAGATTTCTGGTCTTGGTGTGGGCTCAGTTTCCACCATTTCTACATCAGAGCAGCCCTCCAGTTTTTCCTTCTTGTTCTTCTTCTTTTCCGTTCTGTTTTGACCCTTTGTACTTGGAGCTGGAGAAGCATCAACTGCAATAAGGAGAGAAAGAAGGGATTGAACAGCCATTTTCCCATGCACTTTTTAATAAATCCCAATCTGTGATGCATATAGTCAATTTTCATTACTTACACCAGGGGTCCACAAACTTTTTAAACAGAGGGCCAGGTCACAGTCCCTCAAACTGTTGGAGGGCCGGATTATAATTTGAAAAAAACATGAATTCCTATGCACACTGCACATATCTTATTTGTAGAGCAAAAAACACTTTAAAACAATAAAATAATTAACATGAAGAACAATTTTAATAAATATAAACTTATTAGTATTTCAATGGGGTGTGGGTCTGCTTTTGGCTGATGAGATAGGATTGTTGTTGTTGTGTTCTTTCAAGTCATTTCTGACTTAGGTTGACTCTGATCGAGGGCTGGGTAAATGACCTTATCCAGGGCCGTATCCAGCTCTCGGGCCTTAGTTTGAGGACCCCTGGGTTACACAAAAGATGATCCTTCATCAGAGATTTTTAAGATAAGGCTGGATGACAATTATTAAGGGTGTTATAGTATCTGATGTCCTATCAAATGACTTTTGAGGTTCCTTCCAACTCTGACTGGAAGTGGTTTGCTGTGAGTTTTCTGGGCTGTATGGCCATGTTCCAGAAGCATTCTCTCCTGACATTTCACCCACATCTATGCCAGGCATCCTCAGTGGTTGTGAAGTCTGTTAGAAACTAGGCAAGTGGGGTTTATATATCTGTGGAACAATGTCCAGGGTGGGAGAAAAAACTCTTGTCTGTCGGAGGCAAGTGTGAATGCTGCAATTGGCCACCTTATTAGCATTGGATGGTGTTGCAGCTTCAAAGCCTGACTGCTTCCTGCCTGGGGGAATCTTTTGTTGGGGAGTGTTAGGACATTCCACAGATCTAAAAACCTCACTTGTCTAGTTTCCAACAGACCTCACAACCCCTGAGGATGTCTGCCATAGATGTGAGCAAAACATCTTCTATGAACTTGATGTATTATTTTCTTTTACATTTTATGTCTCATATGTTCATTATACATGGAAATATTTAACTTTTGGAATGTTTTCTAGCCACCTGTGTATATTCCCTATAGGTCCACTTCATCGTTGTAATTTCATACTTTTTCACCTGAGGAATATTTGATGTCCATTGCATTCTGTGATTCTGAGGAAGACTTAATATAGCTGAAACCGGTCTGGGATTTGGAAATCCTCTATGTGGAAATTCTCTACAAGGAAGTGGAAGCTCCATATAACAGTTTCATTAGAGAATTATCTTTTCATAGATTTTTGGATTTATAACCTTCTACTTACAAGAGAGCAAGGAATCTACGCCTTCAAGGAGAAGTCGTCTCTAAAGTATTTATGGTTTTATTTATTTTTATTTATTTATTTATTTGACTTGTATACTGCCACTCCCAATTTGGCTCGGAGCGGTTTACAGCAGTAAATTAAAACAATACAACCAACTTTAAAATACAATAAAAGCGTATGATTTTTTTAATCACCTTTACACTGCTCTCAAGAAGGGAATCATTTTGACAAGATTCTGTGTTGACAACAGCTCTATGTTCTTTGTATATGTCCATTATTGTAGCATATAAGTTGTTAAAAACAAATACTATTGTGATTGGTGTACTACTGTTTGTTGTGGCTTTTTGTCTTTGCGATTCAGGGAATCCATTTTCTGTCTAGCTTTAAGCTTTTCTGCCACAGAGTGCTGGTTCTAATGGTTTAAAAATCCCTCTTCTCTTAATTCGATCCCATTCCTTCAGCTCTTAACCTATGGACCACTACTCCTCAAAATGGCTCCTTTCAAATACATTGGATTCCCAATGTCAGAGAAGCAACTTTACCCTGCATAACTATTTTTTCTTTGGTGGCATGGCTGATTTGCTTCAGCAGTTTTCTCCTCTTCTTCCCAGAGAGAGTAATATTTGCTCGTGCGCTGGATCTGAAAAGGAAAACAAGAAGTGCATAAAGGAAATTACCAATGGCCCATTCATAGAATTCAGTGGAAACCTACATCATTCATATGTAGTTCAACATTTTGAGAAAGCAAACATTGCTCTCCCCAAACTTGAGAAAGGCCTGCCATAGTTTATCTCTCTTTTCCTTTTACTAGGAAAGGGAACAGGCTGTGCTCTGGCACCACAAGGTGCAGAGCCAACCTTAAGAAATGGGGCTACAAAGTGGAATCCACGACATGCGAGTGTGGGGAAGAGTAAATCACAAACTACTTACTACAAGGCAATCTGAGCCCTGCCACATGCACAATGGAGGACCTTCTCACAGCGACACCAGAGGCACTGTAAGTGGCCAGCTTCTGGTCAAAAGACACAACTTTGCTTGTGTTTTGAAATGCATTATAACTGTACCCTCAATTTGCTTCTGACATGATAGATAAATAAATAAATGAAATTTCCGGAAAGTAGGATATAATATATAATAATAAATATAACTATTGATTGATTGATTGATTTGAAACATTTATATTCCGCCCTTCTCACCCCGCAGGGGACTCAGGGCTTAGCACAGTGGTTCTCAACCTGGGGTCCCCAGATGTTTTTGGCCTTCAACTCCCAGAAATCCTAACAGCTGGTATACTGGCTGGGATTTCTGGGAGTTGCAGGCTAAAAACATATGGGGACTTAGCACAACATATATACGGCAAACATTCAATGCCGGGACATAAAACCATAAATATACACAAACATTAAAATCACTTATATCCACTTTAAAATCAGTTGCTTAAAAACCATCTCAGGACACCATTCAATTATTGCCTCATTGCACTGCCAGGTCTTCACCAATCTTCAGAAGGACAGGAGGGAAGGGGGCCGATCTAATATTGCCAGGAAGGGAATTCCATAGCTGGGGGGCAATCACTGAGAAGGCCCTGTCTCTCATCCCGGTGGTGGGACCAAAAGCAGGGCCTCCACTGAAGATCTTAATCTTTGTGGTGGTTCATAAAGGGAGATGCATTCGGACAGGTAAACTGGGCTGGGGCCATTTAGGGCTTTATAGGCCAAAGGCAGAACTTTGAATTGTGCCCAGTAGGAAACGGGCAGCCAGTGGAGCTGATGTAGCATGGGAGTTGTGCGCTCCCTGTATGCCACCTCGCTGCTTCTCGTTGGACTATTTGAAGATTCTGAACAGTGTTCAAAGGCAACCCCACATAGAGCATGTTGTAGTAGTCTATCCTGGGTGTAACGAAAGCTAAACTATAATAACAGAGATAAATTATAATAATAACAATAAACATAATAATAAATATAACTCACGATTGCTTCTTCAGGTGGTGAGAAATGATGAGCTCCTTGTCCACTATGGCTGCAACAATCTGGTGTTTTTTCCTCTTCTGTTTGCTCAAGACACGTCGCCTCTTACAAACGTTTTTCCGCAGTTCCTAAAAAAAGGCACACAAAGGGGCAAAAAGCTTTTCCAATATTGCAAACCTTTCCTGGAACAGATTATTTCACTTTCTTTCCTTACACAAGTGCTGCTTCTTAGAATAAGTCAAATACAACTTTTGCTGCTACACTATAAAATTCGGTGCAGCTTGACGCCACCTACACACACACTGATAGATACTTACATAAAAAGTCATTACCCAGGTCAAAAAAGAAGCACAATTAAAGCCCTGGCAGACTGTGCAAAAATAATCTGCAAAGCCCACCTCCTCTGAAGTGACCTGAGCCACCTCAATTGGGCTCTACAGGCTCAGAAGAGCTGCAAGACCGAGAGCAAGCCATGGCAGTTAAAACAAAGATCCACCCAGAAGAAAAGTGTTCTTACCATACATCAAGGGACCCTCTGAGCACATAGGGAAGCTGGTGAAGAAACACAATGTACAAACTACCTACTGATGCATTAATAAAATCCAACAAATTAGCATAACAAATCGTTACTGCACACCGCACTTGAAATCCTTCGTGCCTCCTGCCATTTCAGCACTTTTAATCCCTTGTACCCAGTGCGCCGGCCGAACCAGTTTTAATAATGTCTTGATGTACTGCTATTGTTGTTATTTTGCTATTGTTTGATTTGTTCTGCTTTTGTGATGTCTGTTTCTATTATATTGTGTTTTGTGGCTTCGGCCTGTGTAAGCCGCATCGAGTCCTTCGGGAGATGCTAGCGGGGTACAAATAAAGTTAATAATAATAATAATAATAACAAATGCTACACTCAGTAAAGGACAAGAGGATCTTCTCACCTCTGCAGGAGTCTACCATATACCAACAAAAAATCAGGACAGTAAATAAGGAACAACACAAAAAAGGGGGGAGATTTTAGACAAGAATCAATCAGGGCAAGCTAACACCAGGATTGCCCCAGGTAGCAAGTGGCCAGGCCATTCAGTCGGTAGAAGACGTAGCAGAGTGCTAGTGATCTCGTTCGAAAGGTGAGAGTATAAAGATTTGTCCTGACACAGTTCAGTCGCCATCATGCGTTCGAACAGCGAGGAGCGTGCTTTTGCCGTTGAGGCCTACTTTTCGAGAGGATTTGGAGTGGCCGGTCCACTCTCCAGATTTGGCCCCTTATGATTTTTTTCTATGAGTTTTTTTTTTAAATCCCGTGTTTATGTGAACTGTCCAAGGACCTTACAAGGTTTGAAGACCAACATCCAGGAATAAATTGCCAACATAACGCCTAATATGCTGGCAAGAATCGTGACAAACGCCAGAAATCAGTTAACTTAGTATATGGAGAAGGGGGGACGTCACCTACCTAATTTGATCTTCAAAACTACGTAAAACAAAACTTTAGGTATGTGCCTACATTATTAAAAAAAATCTGATTCATACAATGGGTTTTATTAAGTTTTGAAAAAAGGAAGTTATGCTGCCTCACCCTGTATATAAACCCCACTTGCCTAGTTTCCAACAGACCTCACAACCTCTAAGGATGCCTGCCATAGATGTGGGCGAAACGTCAGGAGAGAATGCTTCTGGAACTTGGCCAGACTGCCCGGAAAACTCAAAGCAACCCAGGTATTCCGGTCATGAAAGCCTTCGACAAGACATAGTTTCATTAAGGTCTTCAGCCTTCTCTGCCAAAGAGTGCTGAGGCCTCCGCCAAACTACAAATCCCACCCATCAATATTGTAACCACACTGACAATAGTCTAACTAACATATTTTCTGTTGGGAAAGAGGACAACTCTGAAAATCCGGAGAAAGGATTCCTATTCAAAACTTAGAAGACTGAAAGAGAGTCTCAATTACTGTCCGAGGTCGGTTGATTTTCCCCGAGGGAGCCATCCTGCATCAAGGTCTCCTCCACCCTGTAACTTCCGGATTGGGAACCACGTGCCCATCCGCAGGAGGAAAAGGCACGCGCGTAAATCGTCACTGCTGCACTCTGATTGGCCAATAGGGGCGTGACTGAGCAGAACCGGAACTGACGTTGCCTCCTCTTTCGTTCCCCAACCCAAATAACCGCTTGGTGGCGCCTGAGAGCACAAATGGGGAAAAGGAGGAGGTTTCTCCTCGTTTGGAAGGAAGGGATGGCTTGGTAAATGGAACAGGCTGGAAACTAGGGCGGAATGGAGGCATGGATTCAAATGGCAGGAAAGAGATTCCATCCAAACGTTGTTGTTGTTGTTGTTGTGTTGTCGAAGGCTTTCATGGCAGGAATCACTGGGTTGTTGTAGGTTTTTTCGGGCTATGTGGCCATGTTCTAAAGGCATTTTCTCCTGACGTTTCGCCTGCATCTATGGCAAGCATCCTCAGAGGTAGTGAGGTCTGTTGGAATTAGGACAATGGGTTTATATATCTGTGGAATGACCAGGGTGGGACAAAGGACTCTTGTCTGTTGGAGCTAGGTGTGAATGTTTCAACTGACCACCTTGATTAGCATTTGATGGCCTGGGGCAATCTTTTGTTGAGAGGTGATTAGATGTCCTTGTTCGTTTCATCTCTGTTGTTGTGCTGTTCTAATTTTAGAGTTCTTGAATACTGGTAACCAGATTTTGTTCATTTTCATGTTTTCCTCCTTTCTGTTAAAATTGTCCACATGCTTGTGGATTTCAATGGCTTCTCTGTGTAGTCTGACATGGTGGTTGTTGGTGTGGTCCAGCATTTTTGTGTTCTCAAATAATATGTTGTGTCCAGGCTGGTTCATCAGGTGCTCTGCTATGGCTGACTTCTCTGGTTGACATAGTCTGCAGTGCCTTTCATGCTCCTTGATTCGTGTCTGGGCAATGCTGCTGCGTTTGGTGGTCCCTATGTAGACTTGTCCACAGCTGCATGGTATACGGTAGACTCCTGCAGAGGTGAGAGGATCCCTCTTGTCCTTTGCTGAACGGAGCATTTGTTGGATTTTCTTGGTGGGTTTGTAGATAGTTTGTATGTTGTGTTTCCCCATCAGCTTCCCTATGTGGTCGGTGGTTCCCTTGATGTATGGCAGGAACACTTTTCCTCTGGGTGGATCTTCATCTTGACTCTCGTGGCTTGTTCTTGGTCTTGCAGCTCTTCTGATGTCTGAGGTGGAGTCTCCATTGGCCTGGAGAGCCCAGTTGAGGTGGTTCAGTTCATCTTGGAGGATGTGGGATTCGCTGATTCTTTTTGCACAGTCTGCCAAGGCTTTAATGGTGCTTCTTTTTTGACTTGGGTAATGGTTGGAGTTTTTATGTAGATATCTATCTGTGTTTGTGGGTTTTCTGTAAACGGTGTGACCCAATTGTTGATCTGGCTTGCGGATGACTAGGACCTCTAGAAAAGGCAGTATTCCTTCATTTTCTTTTTCCATGGTGAATTGGATGTTTGGGTGGATGCTGTTAAGATGGTCCAGGAACTTGTCAAGTTCTTCTTCTCCATGGCTCTAAATGGTGAAAGTGTCATCCACATATCTGAACCATATAGTGGGCTTTTTTGTTGCTGTTTCCAGGGCTTGTTTTTCAAAGTGTTCCATGTAGAAATTAGCAAAACAACAGAGGGAAAACAATCTGGGACATCAAATCACCTCTCAATAAAAGATTGCCCCAGGCACTGCCAGGCAATCAAATGCTAATCAAGGTGGTCAGTTGAAACATTCACACCTAGCTCCAACAGACAAGAGTCCTTTGCCCCACCCTGGTCATTCCGCTGTCAGCTCTAGCTTCTGCCAACCTAGCAGTTCGAAAACATGCAAATGTGAGTAGATCAATAGGTACCGCTCCGGTGGGAAGGTAACGGCACTCCATGCAGTCATGCCGGCCACATGACCTTGGAGATCATGTGGCTGGCTTAGAAATGGAGATGAGCACCACACCCCAGAGTCAGACATGACTGGACTTAATGTCAAGGGACAACCTTTACCTAAGCAATCTGTACATCAGCCTGGCATCTCTGTGAGTGTTACACTTACATCCATGGCAAGAGATTATTCTAACCATCTCTTAGGGGCCCCCGTGGCACAGTGGGTTAAACTGCTGAGCTGCTGAACTTGCTTACTGAAAGGTTGATGGTTCAAATCCAGGGAGTGGCGTGAACTGTTAGCCCCAACTTCTGCCAACCTAGCAGTTCAAAAACATGCAAATGTGAGTAAATCAATAAATCTGGCGGGAAGGTAATGGCGTTCCATGCAGTCATGCCAGCCACATGACCTTGGAGGAGTCTAAGGGCAGCTCCAGCTCTTCAGCTTAGAAATGGAGATGAGCACCAACCCCCAGAGTCGGACACGACTGGACTTAATGTCAGGAGAAAACCAGACTTGGCACAGAGTCCTCATGACAAGCAAACAATACTGGGGATTTTGGGAAATTCACCTTGATTTGGGGGAGTTATAGTTAACTACATCCAGAGAGCATGTGAACCCAAACATGGATGGATGTGGACCAAACTTGGTACACATACCTGATATGCCGAAATTTGATTACTGAAAGGGTTTGAGGGGGAACTGACCTTCCTTTCTAGGAGTTGTAGTTCACCCACAATCAGGGAACTGGTGGAGCCCCCGGTGTTGCAGTGGACTGAAGACCAACAGGTCGCAGGTTCAAATCCGGGGAGAGTGTGGATGAGCTCCCTCTGTCATTTCCAGCTCCTCATGCGGGGACATGAGAGAAGCCTCCCACAAGGATGGTAAAAACATCAAAACATCCGGGCGTCCCCTGGGCAACATCCTTGCAGATGGCCAATTCTCTCACACCAGAGGCAACTTGCAGTTTCTCAAGTCACTTCTGATACGACAAAAAAAAAAAAGGGAACTGATGACTTCCACCTATGATAGACCGGGACCAAACTTGGCACACAGAACCCCCATGACTAACTCAACCTACTGGAGGGGTTTTAGGGGACTGACTCACCACAGTGGGAGTTGTAGTTTACCCTGTAGCCAGAGAGCACACTACCCCACCGATAAGGCATCTAGAGCAAACTTGCCCAATGTAACAAACTTAACAAAAGTACTGATGGAGTTTTTCGGGGTTCATCTGGCATGATGTGCATTTTGAGCAATGAAAAATTTGAATTTTTCAAATAACGCGGGCAACACCCGGGACTCAATCTAGCAATATATAAACTAAGCAGTAGTCTGCAAGGGACAAAAAATGAGACGGATCAAATGCAAAACAAGAACAGTTTAATGAAAAAAGGAATCAGCCGACATGTGCCAATTATGAGGAAAATAAGACACATTCTATAAATACAGCCATAGGTTGTGATTCCACGCAAGGATGACATCTGGTTTTTGGAAGAAAAGGGAACAGCGGCAAAGAAGTGGTTCTTCAGCTGACAAGACCTGGAGGAAAGGCAAGACAGGAAAGGGAAGCATTGAAGACAAAACTCAAGAAAGCAACCTGGCTTAAACCAGGTCCATTGAACCGTTGCCCCTCCAGTTATTTTGGACTACAACTCCCAACACTCCCTGCCATTGCTCTTGCTGAGAGGGATCTGAAGTCCCATGAACAGAACCATGCGTACTATTCCAAGAGTAAAATATTCATACATTTCTAGAAAGTCACTATGACTGTAACAGTTTTATTTCAAATTTATTTTCTAAAGACCCCTAAAATATATTGTTGCACTGCTGAATTAACATAGAAATTATCAGGCTTATCTATATTAGTATTCTCTAGACAGAGAACAGCCAGATAGAAAACAAGCGGGGCAGGCTCGCTGTTGGATTACCCCCATAGGAAACTGAACCTGGACAGTCTTTTCTATGGCTAACATCAGAAGAATGTGACAGAGGTCATTTCCAAGTATAGGCTTTTCTTAAGAAAAGACAGCTTTGGGATTAGGTTTCACATAGACTCAATGTGACCACATCCCTGTATATATATATATTTAAGGCAATACAGTTCTTATGGCATAAAAACGACCCCTTCCTTTTAAAAATCCTGTTTTATGTATTTTATTCTTGCAAAGCAAAATAGGGTCCTGGGGACAAAGTATGGATTTTTCCATTGATTGCCATTATAAGAGAAAGAAAAACATACCCAAGTAGTCATCCATGAGTGACCCAATGGCAAACTGCAAAACAGGGAAAGAATAAGTTAAAATATAATTCATATCTATAACTTTAATGTTGAGTACTCTTATTCACTTCACTTCACTTTATTTCTTAATTAGTCGCTCTCCACCAAGGTGCTCTGAGCGACTTACAATTTAAAATAGCATTTACACAATATAAAAACATTCAACATAAAAACATTCAACAGTGACTATTTGGCAAATTAGATCTGATCACTTTACTTAAATGCACAACCAAACGGCAAAGTCTTGAGCGCCTTTACTAAAGGTCGCAACTCCGACATTGCTCTAATATATGGAGGCAATGAGTTCCACAGAATTGGAGCATAGATCGAAAAAGCTCAGTACTGTTTAAATTAAAGGGGGGCTACTGCAGCTCTCCAGATGTTACTGGACTACAACATCCATCTTCTCGGTTCACATTAGCAAAATTACCATATATACTTGAGTATACGCTGGGTTTTTCAGCCCTTTTTAAAGGCTGAAACCACTCCTTGGCTTACACTTGAGTCAAAGTTATTTATTATTTTACTCTGTTATTATTTTTATTATGTTTATTATTATACTCTATTATTATTATTACATTTACATTGTTTTACTGTATTATTACATTTATTATTTTATTATTATTATTGCATTTATTTACTCTATTTTTATTATTACATTGTTTTACTCTATTGTTATTATGACATTTCCCTTATTTTATTCTATTTATTATTATTATTATTACATTTATTATTTTATTCTATTATTATTGGAAGGATACATGAGCACATTTACATTGAAGAAGGTTAGAATAATGGTTTAATCAGATTTCATAGAATCATAGAGTTGGAAGACACCTCATGGGTCATCCAGTCCAACCCCATTCTGCCAAGAAGCAGGAATATTGCATTCAAAGCACCCCTGACAGATGGCCATCCAGCCTCTGTGTAAAAGCTTCCAAAGGAGGAGCCTCCACCACACTCTGGAGCAGAGAGTTCCACTGCTGAATGGCTCTCACCGTCAGGAAGTTCTTCCTAATGTACAGATGGACAGTCTTATCTTAAATTACAGTTTTATGTACAGTAAATATTCAAAAATGTTTAACCTACGGATGCCTCAATTCATGTAATTTTATTGGTATCTATTTTTATTTTAAAATTTACCAGTAGCTGCTGCATTTCCCACCCTTGGCTTATACTCGAGTCAATACGTTTTCCCGGAGTTTTTTTGTGGTAAAATTAGATACCTTGGCTCATATTTGGGCTGGCTTATACTTGAGTATATACGGTAATAGGATTTGAAGAGTACAGGTCCTCCCTCTCTGACTATCTATGGGGGATTGTGAGGTGCAAAACCTTGTGCCCCAGACTGGTTTGGCAGCCTCTCCTCTTATTCCATTGCACACATCAACTCACTATATCATTCTTGTCTACGCGGGTCCCCACAATCTTCAGTCTGATCTCATCATCTTGCTGGATGACAACATCCTGTTTGGGGTCGAAGCAGAAACACACAGCAGCATTAGGTGGGAGAGTTAATATTGTTCCTTTGATTTCTGAGATCTGGATTGAGAATCATTGTTCATATTGTCAAATCTTTGAGATTTATCTGTCTCAATAAGAAAATATACTAAAACACACATGACATATGGCTGAGATATGTGTCATTTGTTATGTTGATTGGAATGTAAACACAAAAAGTCAAATTTACTCTTTGCTCAGCCCTGCCATACAAGAAAGTCAAACAATGTCATTATATGGGCTCTCATTCTTCAAACAGTTTGCTTCTTCCACCGTCCTTTTGCATATGGATATACTCACCTCATCAATGGTCTTGTAGCACGGTGGATTGGAGTTGGGGTCAAATTCCATTTCAGAAGGAATAGACTGTAAAGACAATTGGGACTGATCATGAGTGAAATTGAAGAGCAGATACTTTGCATACAAAAACTTCCAAAATCAAACCCCAGTTGGAAATAGTCCAAATAGTCCCTTGTAACAAACCTGGAGTCAGTCCTGTATACCAAGGCATATAAAATAGGCATAAAACCTTAACTGAATTCCCCAAACTAGTTGTTCACATTTGTCCAAAGTGTTAACATTGGCCAACACGAGAACAGCAAGCTCCCCAACAGCACGGCCTTTTGTGCTTAGCTGGCTGGTGTTCAGGGAATCAGTTACAAAACCGTTTAGAGCAATGTTATCCATGGGCATGTTTCTTACAGTAGGATCACATTGAAGGTAGAGATATAATTACTAAAGTGGTTGTTGTCCTGTTTATTTGCCCAGCCCACAATGTTCCAGGAGATAACCCTTAGAAGAGAATACTTCTAGGGGTTACTCACATCAATCATCATGGCTAATCTGATCTAAGAGACCCTTTGGGTCTTCTTAATAATACACCCATTTGCCTTGGGCACAACCAGACACCAGACACAAACAGACACTATGAAGACATCTGCCCTTGCACTATGCTACTCTGCTGCTGAGTACACATGCCCAGGGTGGAACCCATCTCACCACACTAAAACAGTGAATGTGGCTCTTAACATGCCGCATTATCACGAGGTGTCTGTGCCCTACACCACTGGAGAAATTACACTGTATAGCCAGTATTGCACCACCTGACATCCTCCGGGAAGTAGCAACCAATAGTGAAAGGACCAAGGCAGTGACATCTCCAGCTCATCCCCTGTTTGGATATCAGCCAGCACGTCAACGACTTAAATCAAGAAATAGTTTTCTAAGATCTACAGAGACACTCGCTGGAACACCTCAGCAAGCGAGAGTCCAAAAGTGGCAGGCTCAAACCCAGAACCTCAATCAATGGCTGATACCCAATGAGAGACTCCCCCCTGGGCACACAGAAGACTGGGCGACTTGGAAGGCGCTGAACAGACTGCGCTCTGGCACCACGAGATGCAGAGCCAACCTTAAGAAATGAGGCTACAAAGTGGAATCCACGACATGTGAGTGTGGAGAAGAGCAAACCACTGACCACCTGCTGCAATGCACCCTGAGCCCTGCCACATGCACAATGGAGGACCTCCTTGCGGCAACACCAGAGGCACCCCAAGTGGCCAGATACTGGACATTTAAACTACCAAGCTTGCAAACTTTGTGTTCTGTTTGTTTGTTAAAAATGCAATGCAACTGTTTGGTCTGCCCCTGACACGATAGATAGATAAATAAATATTTGCCTTGGGCTTAGGTCTGGGGATCATCAGGGAGAAAACAGGGTCTGGAACTTGAGGATCTAAGGAAGGAATTTCCATTTGGGAGACAGCACGTTTCAGGGTACATTGACATTGGTGGGGTAGAGTTTAGGAGGGGATACAATTAAAGCTGATGTGGGGATTCTGGAAAATTGTACAGGGTGGACACAGGGTTCGAGTAAGATAGGAGTGGAATTCCCTGGAGTATTGTGGACGCAGGTGATTACTGTATATACTCGAGTATTAGCCTAGTTTTTCAGCCCTTTTTTAAGGCTGAAAAAGTCCCCCTTGGCTTATATTCGAGTTAAGGTTATTTATTATTTTACTCTGTTATTATTATTTTTATTATTTTACTCGATTATTCTTAGTATTAGCATTATTACATTTATTATTTTACTCAATTATTATTAGTATTATTACATTTATTATTCAGTTATTACTGTTATTATTACATTCCCATTATGTTACCCTATTTATTATTGTTATTATTACATTTATTATTCTACTAGCTTGGGGACCTGGCGCTGCCCGGGTTATTTTAGAAAGGAATTGTGTATCAAGGTTGGTCTTTATCAGTTATTTATATGACTCGCAGTTGTCTCAGGAAGTTAGTGAAGGTACTGTGAGTCCCATTATCTCCTCCCTCCTCCATTATGGTCCACCCTCCTCCAAACTGCTCCAGGATGGAGAGTGGGTCATGGGGGTTTTGTGTGCCAAGTTTGGTCTTGATCGGTCATTAAATGAGTGTTGCAGAGGTCTTGGGAAGTGAGTGGAGGTACTTGAAGTCTCATCATCCATAGTCTGTACTCCCCCAAACCTCACCAAAATGTTGAGTTGGCCATGGGGGCTCTCTGCTCAAAGTTTGGTCTATATTGGTTTTTGAATGAGTGTCGCTATGTTTTCAGGAAGTGAGTGAATGTACTGCAAGTCCCATCATCCATCGTCCATCCTTCAAACAGCACCGGGATGGAGAGTGGGTTATGGGGGCTGTGTGTGCCAAGTTTGGTCTTGATTGGTTATTAGATGAGGGTTGCAGCAATCTTGGGAAAAGAGTGG